AACAATGACAGTAATTGTTCATAGAAAATAAAAGGTTTTGTTTTCAATGCCAAATTTTTATTTTGGATTCCAAAATTATAATGTCACTGTTCAAGGCTTTACTATCACCTGTATGCTTGGTCTGATCTGCAAGCAATGCACTAAAGCCATTGTTAATGCTATGAAACTTGATATAATTGAGCACCTCCCTGACCTTTACCCCATTTTGTGTTGGGTTCTCTCATATTATGACTGTGGTGAGGATTCTGGCATGCAGCTTAAGTGAATTAGAGCCATACAGTGCACTACTGCAGTAAGAATAATAATTAAGAATAATTAAAAGGGGGGATTGTGAGGGAAATTATACATATGTTTAAATATCTTTATTGCACATTTAATTGCAGCCTAATTATATTTAATTAATGTTTGATTATTCAGAGTGCTGGACTATATAACCTTTAACCAAGTGAACCTTAGCCTAATTGCTTGCCAAGGTATCATAAATGTAACAGAAGTGTTCATGGAGTGTACGTGACAAAAAGTCTGTTTAAGGTTCACTAGTGCAGGGAAATATTTAAAAAACATTTCATGTAGCAACACCTTGAAACAATGGTGCCTCTGAGAGAGATTCTTTTCATTATTCAGGTGTGACAAATATATTTTGTCTTGTTCCTCAATGTCAGAAAGCTGTAGTATGCATTTAAAAAACAAAATATATTGGCATGAGGTTTTAACATATAGAAACTGTTATCAAAGCGGCAAGTTCCACTAAGCACAAATGCATTGAACGGTTGGAGTGATAAGATGGCAGTAAGACACGCATAGTGCTTCAAAGTTACAAAAGATAAAAAACAAGGGCTTAGATTAGTAAACTGTTCGATCCTGTGCTTGGGTTGAAGGTCTGCAGAGTATCTGTTTCTAACTGTATACTATTCTCTCATGTTAAAGATTAGGAGGAACCTTATGTTAAACATAATAGGAGAAAAGTCTTTTTAAGTTTGTTTAAATTAATCATGTAAGGTGGTGTATAAATAAAGACCTGATTACATTCAGAGACTGTATTTCAGATTAATCCTGGCCAAGGTCCTTATAAATGAAATGCTGTTTGTTGCTGCATGAAAGCAAATATGTAAATTTTCAGTTCAAGCTGAGTTTTACCAAAGTTATACAACATTGAGATTGCACTTCATCCTCTGTTTTATCATTCTTTGCATCATCTTCACACTTCAAAACCTCTATGTCAGACCCTGTTACTTCTGTATCCATATAAACAAGATGATTATATTGCATTTTCTTGTAATTTTTGTATTTTTTGAAAACTATAAAGTCTGTGTATCTTGTTTTGAGGAAACACAGTGTCTCAATCATCTGCCCTCTTTCCTGTCTGTATGTTAAAACCTTACTGATAAACACATTTCAAGAGTGGAGTTTTAGTCTATTATTCATCCCTCCAAGTAACGGAAAGGTAAGGCTGATCCAAGTTCATGTTGGTATAGTTTGCACTTTGTTAGGTACAATTACAGTAGGTTTGAGGGTGGTATTGTGATTTTACACTTATTGTACCTATTGTGTGGGTTGGTGAAGGGTGAGATCATGCGTGTGTTTCTGTGTTAATTTAATTAATGTAGCCTACATTTACTTTACTTTACTTACTTTAAAAAAGTTGAGGTACTTCCTTGGAAGCCACTTTTTACTTCTACTCCACTGCAATTCAGAGGGAAATATTGTACTTTATATTTCATTACATTTATCCCACAGATTAAGTTGATCAACTAACCATTTCCACAGTGTTGGTAAAAAATACAGTTGAAATGGTTAGTTTAAGTTAGTTAATTTGTAATTATTTGAAAATCTCCTGTTATTTACAAACAATTTCATGGTGTTAGGCAGTTACTCCAATGAGAGGATTTTCTGTCTTTCCCCTAAACTGTTTTAATAATTGCAATTTATTTCTGATCATTTTGAGGTTTGTACTATTTGTTGGACAAAACGAGCATTGTGAAGGTCTGCCTTTAAGCTCTGGGGAACTGTGGCATTTATCACTATTTTCAGAATTTTTACATTGAGAAATTTCTTATTGAGAAAATAACCTTAATTAATCCATAATTAAAATAGTCAAGTTGCAGTCTTATACAAAATGGTTTAAAATTTAGAACTAAATATTACATTAACATTAGTGGATGAGTATTATCTAAAGATAAAAATATATATAAGATTCTGAAGCATTAAGTATTGTTTTTATGTATTAATCAGGTTCTCTCTCCAATACATGAACGGGTTGTGAACTAACTTGAAAAATAAGACCTTCCTTAATCCTCGGTTGCCTGTCGACTGATTTTTATGTGTCTATGTACGGATGCAGGCGTGGACGTAACGTTTATGTGCTCTCCCAAGTGCTTTCTCTCTCTCAGCACCCTATAGTGTCCACGATAAGTCAAAGCTAACGTTTTAGCTTGCTAACCTTTGCTTGCTTGCTGCTAACAGAGTAATATACTGTCAGCTAGTTAACTTGGTGATTGACAGAGAAAAGAATAACGAAAGAAATAAGGACCATGTGGATATAAAGAACACACAAAAAGACTCAGGTTTCCCATGGAGACGAAAATTCATTGAATGGAGAGTTCAAGAACATGCTGTGTGGGTGCCTGGATAGAGTCAAACCTTAACCTGCATTCCCAGGTCTTAAAGCCCACAGTAACACGACATTCCAGAGTACGAACCAGATTAAAAGGCTCATTCAGAAAGACAGAAGCCAGCCCCAAGATGGAAAGGATACTACTGAGGATAGAGATCAAACAGGGGACATAAGACAACAGGACGAGGACACAGGAGCGTGAGATGAGTCAAGATTCTGAAGTCCCCAGGTGAATGAGGAAGAGGCAGTGTCTTCCGAGGACATTCTACAACCACACGTCAACCAAAATGTATCTTTAGACATAATGGATTAGGGAAACCTATACACCTTAAGAAAGTAGAGATTTATAAAATACAGTAGCTGTTTGAGTTCATGGTCACAAAGGTAATGCTAATCGAAGAGTTCATACTTGTTTTGATGAATATTTGTAAATACAGCTGCAGTAATTCAAGGCAGTAGTTCATTTAGTAGTTAATCACACAAAACTAACTTGTTATTGCAACCAGGATTTTTGTGTGTCAGGTAACTTTAACTGACTTGCACACAGACATTCAGCTTTCTTTTTAGTTTGCTAAGCTGTTGTTGTGATATCAGTAACCCACAACATAGCTAACATTAGTAATATTACTTGCAGTGCCGTTGTTTGCTATATCATGATATTGGATTTCTCCAGAATCATTTGCCCCACCTTTAAAATTTAAAAAAATGAAGATGGACGTTATTTTGGCTGAAATGTAATTTCATTTGCATAATTTAAAGATATTGTGTGTTTTCAACTTGAAATGTATTCACAGTGAGAGAAACCAAGTAGTAGTTCCCACTGTGCCTGCAGATCTGGTTAGTTAAGTGCAGTAGTATCAAGGGTTAAAAATAAAATGCCATGTAGTTTGTTCATTGATGTTCATGTGATAACAACGTGGAGAGACATGTGCATCTATGATGTGCAGCAAATGTCCAGGGTTTGGCTGGCACAATTATTTTGGTTCACTCACAGGTGTGTAGGGGTGGGACTAAGAGTTGAGAGTTCAGTAATATTCCACTCTCACTCTTCCCTTAGTTCAACAAACGAGAGAGAGAGTTGAGAGAGTTCAACAAGAGAGAGAGTTGAAAGATCAGGACGGGATCAGGAGAAAAATGATGGTACCATAGACTTTAAATTCTGGATATTTTATTTTATTTTGATTGTTTCTTACTGTGTGTGTGTGTGTGTGTGTGTGTGTGTGTGTGTGTGTGTGTGTGTTCAATAAACACACACTATGTTATAGCTAAAGCGAATATATGGGTCTGTGCATTGTTAGAGGACCAGTGTGTAGGATTTAGTGGCATCTAGTGGTGAAGTTGCAGATTGTAACTAACTGAACACTGTTGTACACATTATGGTATAATTAAAGTGAATGTATGGGTCTGTGCAATATAAAGGAGAAGTAAAACATGTTTTATAGGTAAAACTTTTCAGATGTTTAAATGGAAATACTTTTTTGTAAATATTTATGTGTGAGTTATCAGAGTGGAGGTTCAACAGCAAATATTTTGACTGTGTCCATTATGCAGATTAGGTACAGTTTGGCATCCATGTAGCTACCCAAGGCCTCTGGTGACACTAGTGATAACCTAGATAAGGAGCAGATTGTTGGTACATCACACCGTAGCTCCTCCCATGCTTTTCAGTAATATTCCACTGTGTAATTGAGCAAGGTGGTTGAGAGAGCCACATCAGCAACTGAAAGTATATGTTACAGCTGTGTAAGATTTCCTCTGCATGAAAGGTTTCTCCAACGTTATCAGATCAGTCCCCACTGCTGTCAGTCTGCTTCTTCTACAGCAGGGTTCAGAGGGTCACAGTGCCTCTATGCCTCTATGCTCAGGCCTGCAAATTCTGCAAAACATACACTTTGAGGTTAGTTCCCTTTAGTATAGTTTGGGCAAGCAATACACTCAGGTAGTTTTTCCATATGGAGTAAAGCATATAGGCATGCCTAACAGGTCACACAATAATGCTTTGTCGCAAGAAGACTTGTGAATTGTGAGTCCTGTACTTTTTCTTAAATTATATTTGAATGTACTTATACAGCCTGTGTTACTGGTTGCTTTTAAGGGCAATGTCACCATATTCCTTACTGATCCGTGAGGAGGCGTGTGTGTGTGTGTGTGTGTGTGTGTGTGTGTGTGTGTGTGTGTGTGTGTGTGTGTCTGTGTGTGTGTGTGTGTGTTTTGTGTTCAATAAATACACACTATGCAGTATATACAATTTGGCATCCCTGTGGCTACCTGATGCCTCTGGTGACCCTGGTGATAACCTAAATAACGAGCAGATTATTGGTACATCCCACCATAACTCCTCCCATGCTTTTCAGTAATATTCCACTCTGTAATTGAGCAAGGTGATTGGGAGGACCACATCAGCATTAGGGGTATATGTTACAGTTGTGTAAATTTCTCCTGCAAAAAGGTCTAGTCTATGTTATCAGATCTGTCCCCACTGCCGTCAGTCGTACTTCGTCTCCAACATGGTTCAGAAGGTGGCAGTGATCGGTGCAGGGATTTCTGGATTGACCAGCATCAAGGCCTGTTTGGATGAAGGTCTGGAGCCCACCTGCTTTGAAAGCAGCCATGACATTGGGGGTCTATGGAGATTTAAGGTGAGCGGCAATGCTTTAACATAAACACTTTTCCATTAAAAACTCCTATTGTCATCACCATGCACTGCAATCATACTCATTTGATTCTTAAATTATGTTTTAAATATTAAAACGTGTAGGAATATTCATGTAAATCTGACAGTAAATGAAATAAAATAAAACCTCTATGGATCTCATATTGCTGGAAGATTATGCCAAAACCAGAGATGTCCTTCAAAGTTCAACTGAGTCGGCTCTTAAGGGTCCAATGTGTAATATTTAGGAGGATCTATTGGCAGAAATGGGAAAACTGATAAATGTGAAAGAAATTGGAAAGGTTGGCCATTTTAACAATTATCATGTATTTGTTGTGACACTTAAATTGCAGACAAAGTAGTGTGAGATAGTGAAATAGTGAAAAATGTCCCTATCTGTCTTTATATTGTCCTTCTCCAGGACAAGCCCGAGCCTGGACGTGCCAACATCTATCGGTCAGTGATCATCAACAGCTCCAAGGAGATAATGGCCTTCAGCGACTTCCCTCCACCAGCTGAGCTCCCCAACAACATGCACCACTCTGAGGTGCTACAATATCTGCGTCTCTACGGCCAGGCCTTCAAACTGATGCAACACATTCATTTCCAGGTTAGTAGCACTGGATTGCTTGTTAAGATAACGCTCAGGTAGTTTTACTTTAGTAAAAGTTTTAGTAAAGCATACTCCCAACCTGAGTGTCGACCTGGCAATGAGAACGGGCTGTGAACTGTGTAAGAGGAACTACGGTGGCGCTGAAACAGAAAAAGGTTTTTTGGTTTGTGTATTCTAGTACTGTAGACACAGTAAGCGACCCAATGCATCAGTAAATAAAAAAGGTAATGAAAACACGCTGATTCCTATATTCAGGTGATTTTACACTAATGAAAACATTCCTATGAATATTATATTCAATTTCTGCCATTAATGCTTTCTAAATGTTATATACTGGACCTGTAATATGGTGTAATATAATATGTTTTACATTTCAGCTGTTGTAAATGTTATTTTTTTTGTCCATTATGCAGATTAGATACAGTGACATCCTTGCAGCTACTCGAGGTGATAACCTAGATTAGGAGCAGATTATTGGTACATCCCACCATAACTCCTCCCATGCTTTTCAGTAATATTCCACTCCATTGAGCAAAGTGGTTGAGAAACTCTATATTTTAATGTACTGATACACACTACAAAACTGTATTATTGGTTGCTTTTAAGGGCAATGTCACACAAATATAAACAAAATGGTCACAGCTACTTCATTAATATTCTCAGATATTAGTGTTTTTAAATGTTTGTTAACATGAGTAACACTGCAGTGAAATATGCTTTTTTTTAATTTTCCTTTCTTAAGCTACACACAAATAACTTAAGATAAATGCCAATATGAATGGAGGGTATTGTGTGTGTGTGTGTGTGTGTGTGTGTGTGTGTGTGTGTGTGTCTGTCTGTCTGTCTGTCTGTCTGTGTGTGTGTGTGTGTGTGTGTGTGTGTGTGTGTGTGTGTGTGTGTGTGTGTGTGTGTGTGTGTCTGTCTGTCTGTCTGTCTGTCTGTCTGTGTGTGTGTGTGTGTGTGTGTGTGTGTGTGTGTGTGTGTGTGTCAGACTACCGTGGTCAGTGTGAGGCAGAGACTGGATTTTGATGCGACAGGCCAGTGGGAGGTGGAGACCGAGAAGAGAGAGGGTCAGAGGGAGACAATTGTTTTTGATGCAGTGATAGTTTGTACCGGACACTTTACCAAGCCTCACCTGCCACTCACAGACTTCCCAGGTACCATTACATTTTCATTAACTCTCACTGTTACTTCCAAAACTTTTGCTTAGTTCAACTGTTTTGCAGCCTCAGCATATTGATTGTTTGATTTCCCACCTTAGGTATTGAGAGCTTTGAAGGCAGATATTTCCACAGCTGGGATTACCGCAACGCAGAGGGTCTGCATGGGAAAAGAGTGGTAGTGATTGGGATTGGGAACTCTGGAGGTGATATTGCTGTGGATATCAGTAGAGTTGCTGAGAAGGTACACAACTACTTTTCTCTACTTTTGAGGGTTCTTTTAATAGAGCAGTGTTGCTGTTGACTGTATTATTAAAAAAAAAAAAAAAAAAAGTATCCTAAGAATATAAACATGAATCTTAACCTCGCTTTATGTTCTGACCTGACCTGCAGGTGTACCTCAGTGCCAGGAGCGGAGCGTGGGTTGTCGGCCGTGTAGGAGAGGGGGGGCTCCCAGGTGACCTTATTGGGACTTCTCGAATGCATACCGTACTGGAGAACCTCTTCCCCTCATGGATCAGTACAAGGGTGGAGAAGAAGCTGAACAAAGCATTTGACCACAAACTATATGGCCTGAAACCAAATCATGGGTAACAAGATACTTTAGATGAACGTCTTTATTCTACTGTATCATTTTCAGAAAATGGTTGTTAATAGTGCCACCAGTGGCCGTTAAGTGAACAGCAGTCAGCGTCCTGTTGCTCGCACTTCGTACACAGTCTGTATCCTGGGCATTGGCCAAAAGTGACATTTACTGAGTTCTGGAAAATTTTAATATTTAGAATAATGTTACTATCTGCAATTTTCCTATATTTTATTTGAGTCCACGCTAACAACTATCTCACCATTTACAAATCACCCCATGAGCCAACAACACGAAGCCACCAATACCAGACACACACCGTACAGCCAACCCCTGCTTTACTTGAGCTAACTTACAGTTAGTTGGGTGATCCTGCCGTGCATTGCTCTTCACTATAGTAGAATGCAATTGTTTGCTTTGTACCCTTACCTTACCTTTGTTTTTGATTTTTTGCATTCTTGGCTTAAATTATCATTGTCTGTAAAAATACATTTGTTAGTATCATGGCCCACATTAGCTGGGGAATTAATTTTGCAAGTTATTATTAACCAACTAACATATCCGCTCAGCAATCACATTAGTGAGCAAGCAAACTAATGTTAACCAGCCCACTGCAACCCAGCCACAGTGAATAACGTTATCCGGCACCAGCCGCCCCACAACACCAGCCAACAAAGTAACCTGCAATATCACAATATATTTCACACGCTTTGTGACTTTGACTTTGGTGTTGTGGTGGTGTGGTCGTTTGTTGATGTTATTGGAATCCATTTACATGCTAACATTTGCACACTGTTGACACTGTAGTGAAGCAGAGAGAGAAGACGTGTGTTTTCACAGAAAATACAACCCTCATCCCCACACGGAAACGCATAAAAATCAGTCCAGAGGAACTGAGATAGTTGAGGAAGGTCTCATTTTTCAAGTTACATCACAACCCATTCACTGATTGGTAATAAAAAGTGATTAATAAAAAAAGTATTTTTGGCAGTTTTTATACACAGATGCCAGTTGTGAATGACGACCTGCCAGCTCGGATCATCTCAGGTCGTGTTCAGGTGAAACCAAATGTGAAGGAGTTCTGTGGGTCCAGTGTGGTTTTTGTCGATGGGAGCATCATAGACAAGGTTTGTATTAGAAAAATTCTTAGACTGTCATATCATGTCAAAAAATATATTGTTGCATTCAGTACTGTGATATGGCAGCTGATTAGATTTTGGTGGTTAAAGGTTACTTTAACGCGATATTGTAGGAACGAATTTCTTAAAATTTAGCATAAACATCTGCTTGGACTCAAAGATGAACTGATTACAATTTGGAGGTCAAAGGTCAAAGGTCCATGTGACCTCAAAATGGGCTTTTAGCCATAATTTAAGAATGAATTGTGCGATTTAAAATTTTGCACACAATAGGTAAAAAATAACTACCACAGTACAGGCTGTCATCCTTTCATCTCGTCTATTCTGCCTTTCACATACTGCCGTTCAGAAATAGGCTTCTTGTGACGTAAACTGCTACTTGACTGTTGAAGGCATAAAACCATGGGTTGGTAATTGTAGTTGCTTTCTGGACACAGTACTTTATTTCTTTCTGAATAATATGAATGAAAAAGTCCATTATCTGGTTATGAAAAATAAAATAACCACAAAGTAATTAAATGTCTATAGTCTTCTAATCTTTAAATGTTATGTGTGTGTCATACAGGTGGATGTAGTGGTGTTTTCCACAGGCTACAACTACAGCTTCCCCTTCCTGCCCTCGACTCTGCAGGCTAAATCTGGTTACAGGCTGCGTCTCTACAAGCATGTGTTCCCTCCTGCACTGAGCCAGCCTACACTGGCAGTGGTGGGCTTCATCCGTGGCTTTGGAGCTGTCAACCCTCTGGCTGAGATGCAGGCCCGCTGGGCTACAAGAGTGTTTAAAGGTTAGTACAACACAGTAAGAAGGTATTAGTTTTATCTTGATGGTAAAGGGATTTATCAATACACAGGATCTATTATGTTATATAATGTTTGGTATTTGCATTGAGGTCTACATTAAAAACTGAGGGCTTTGATGATAGAGAAAGACCCTTTAGTAGTTGTACTGCAATAGACCCTCATGATATAAGGAAACTGTTATTAACTGAAGAGAGGGCACATTCACATTTAACCATGTTTTATAGCTGTGTTTCCTGGAAGACCACAAATAGGGGTAAAGTGTCATTTTCTACAGTGGACTTTTGATCATTTCAAATTTAAAATGTTCATACGCAATTCTCATAGAATCAGTAAGAAGCATGAAGTTAAGCTGACAACACAATGTGAAGTATGTTTTTCGGATGTTCAAGAAAAAATTAGGATTAAGATAACTGTTTTAGTGTATTTTACATTTATTGATTTGTTTTCATGCAGGTTTAACAACGCTACCCTCAGAAGAGAACATGATCAAGGAAATTGAGAAAGACACCATAACAATGCATAAGAGGTAGAAAATAGGCTGTTCAATATGACAAGATCCATATTAAGATATTATGATGATCACAAATAATCCACTCCTCTAATGCAGCTCACTAGGGCTGCATCTAATGATTATTTATTTATTATTGATTAATCAATTAATCCTTTGGTCTATCAAACATCTGTAAAAACAGTTGTTTTTTGTTTTTATAATGTTTTTTGTTTGTTTGTTTTTGTTTCTGTTTGTTAGGTTTGCCTGCTCAGAGCGTAACCCCCTCCAGGTGGACTACATCCCCTACCTGGACTCTCTAGCAGAGCTGGTGGGGGTTCGACCAAACATACCGTGGCTCTTACTGAAGGACCCCAGACTGGCACTGCAGATTTTTCTGGGTCCCTGTACTCCTTATCAGTACCGCCTGACTGGGCCGGGCCAGTGGGCTGGAGCCCGTCAGGCCATTCTCACTCAGTGGGAGCGGGTGGTTCAGCCTTTCAGGACCAGAGTGATACCAGAACCAGAGACCAGACCTTCTTCTACACGGAGCATCATAGTGACCTTCTCAGGTGCAGCACTACTGTGCTGCTTCTTCTACAATAAGCACCGCACCTCCATCTCCTTTCCTCTCACATTCTCTGAATGGTCTTTAACCAACATGGCTGGACTATTTTAATCTTGTCTAAAGCATACATGCTATTCAAAATCCTCCTCTGGTGTGATGTGTGCCAATTCAAGAAACCTGAAGTCCTCCTTTTTCACTCCAAAAACCAGTTCTACCACTTCCTGGTACTGTAGTCCAGTATGTTGCACCATCTGCTGAGAACATCTGGTCTGTTAATTCACAGTCTTAAAGTTGGTCATCTCAGGAGGTTTGTTTCATACTGATTCCCTCCTTCTAAATATATCCAGATTCTAATTAATTCTTTCTTTAGCCATAGCAGGTGATTTAGACAGTAGAGTATAAAACGTATTCACATTTTTAGCCAGACAGTTAGTTGTAAACCTTTAGTTCACAGATGCAAAATTTCCCACAATCTATCTCCACAATTTCCTTTTTGTACTATTTGTAAATATAAAGTAAGTATAGCAGTAATAAAGATGAAATAGAGATTGTAGCCAGTTAGTAAACTTATCATGAATGTTGCTTAATTGCTAGTGTATCCCAGAGAGCATATTAGTCAGTGAATCAGATCAGCTGAACATGCAAAAATGTTAAATATCATTACACAAAGCTAATTACAATTTCCCCTATGTTAAGTGCCAGATTATATTTTTCTTTTGTTTATGGGAATTATCAGTAAATTATTAAAGGATTGACTCATAAATTAAAGTGGTAATCTCTCTGCTCTGATCAAAAGGACACAGATGCCAAATGCACAACGGCATGAACACTGAAACACAATATCTGGGGAACTCTGATGCCTACAGAGACGTTTAGTGGGAAGTGGAGGGAAGTGTTTTGATGCTGAAGGTCAGTGTCAATTATCGGGAAAACAGCACCATCTTGTGGCCTCTTTGTGTTACTTTAGAAATCTAACTGATTTTATTATATTTGATTGTCTTTCTAACCTTTTTGGTATTCATTGTATAACACTGAATTTATATGTTAGCCTACATTTTGTGTTTGTCAAACTTTCTTTAATGACAAGAAATAGAAATGTCTGCCAAAGGCCTCAAAATAAAAGAATAAAAAAATAAAAATAAAGATCAAATTAAAAAATAATATATTTTGTCTAAATATTACTGACTGTATTTAGGCTTATTTAAATAACTTTTGTAGGCTTTTGTAGGGCTCTGTGGTTGCTATGCATCAGGGACAAATGACAACAACTGACACACACTAGGACCAAAGCTGTTTCAGATTCATTAGTTTAAAATCCAGTTTGTTTTGCTATGTGTTTTACTGCTGAGACATTAAGGAACCCGCTGATGCAACGACATTATACTTTGTTAAATAACATTTTCAGGTTTAACTTATCAAATCTGACAGTTTGACAACATTTAACTCTGTTGAGACAGAAAAGGACTGTGTAAAGTTCACACAAGGAAACGAGGTCTATAGTTAAATTTAGGTCATAGTTCCCTTTATGCTACTCGTAACAACAAAAATATATATAAAAATAATATATTAAGGATTAATAAGTCATAAAAATAATGAGAGAGAAAAAATCTATTCAAATAGGATTAATAAAATATATGAATAATAAACTGGAGAATAATCATGAAACCTGTCAGATATGATGAGGTATGATGCATTCTTTAAAACCCTAAAAAATCCATTCATTTCTAGACAAACTATACACCAGCTACAGCGGGTAAAATAAGTATTGAACGCGTCACCATTTTCTCAGTAAATATATTTCTAAAGGTGCTATTGTCATGACTTTTCCCCAGATGTCGGTAACAACCCATGCAATCCACACATGCAAAGAAACCAAAATAAATAATTACAGAAATTAAAGTTGTGTGTAATAAAATGAAATGACACGGGGGAAAAGTATTGAACACGCTTACTGAAATGTATTTAATACTTCGTACAAAGGCCTTTGTTGGTAATAACAGCTTCAAGACGCCTCCTGTATGGAGAAACTAGTCGCATGCATCGCTCAGGTGTGATTTTGGCACATTCTTCCGCACAGTCTTCAAATCTTGAAGTTTCCGTGGGCCTCTTCTATGAACTCTGATCTTTAGTTCTTTCCATAGATTTTCTATTGGATTCAAGTCAGGTGATTGGCTGGGCCATTCTATCAGCTTTATTTTCTTTCTCTGAAACCAACTGAGAGTTTCCTTGACTGTGTGTTTGGGATCATTGTCTTGCTGAAATGTCCACCCTCGTTTCATCTTCATCATCCTGGTAGATGGCAGAACGTCTCGGTACATTTTTCCATTCATCCTTCAATTATATGAAGTTTGCCAGTGCCATATGCTGAAAAACAGCCCCACACCATGATGTTTCCACCTCCAAACTTCACTGTTGGTATGGTGTTTTTGTGGTGATGTGCAGTGCCATTTGACCTCCAAAATGCTGTGTATTATGGCATCCAAAGAGTTGAATTTTGGTCTCATCTGACTAGATTATATTCTCCCAGTATTTCACAGGCTTGTCTAAATGTTGTGCAGCAAACTTTAAACGAGCTTGCGAGGAGCACCTAGTCGTGGCTGGTTTATGGTGAAATTATGTCCTTTTCACTCCTGGATTATGGCCCCAGCAGTGCTCACTGGAACATTCAGAAGTTTAGAAATCCTTCTGTAACCAATGCCATCAGTGTGTTTTGCAATAATAAGGTTGCAAAGGTCTTGAGAGCTCTTTGGTTTTACCCATCATGAGATGTTTCTTGTGTGACACCTTGGTGATGAGAGTGGCAGGATTGCTTTCTATTTACTGATAGATTTCAGCTGGTGTCTTGGCTTTCCATGCCTTTTTGCACCTCCCTTTTGTCATGTGTCATTTTCACATTATTACACATAACTTAATTTGCATGTGTGGATTGCATGGGTTGTTACCGACATCTGGTAAAACATTTCATGTCAATAGCACCTTTAGAAATATATTTACTGGGAATAATGGTGACATGTTCAATACTTATTTTACCCGCTGTATATCTACATATTTGTGCATTTTACAGAATGATTTTTCTCATCAGAACATTTTAGACACACATGCTGACTGAGGCAGGTGCCACTACAACACATTCTCTCTCTCATAGTGCTGTTGGCAGAGCATGTTTTTAATTTACAGTTTTTTACAACCGCTAACATCTTTTTGTCCAATCTGTAGTCACATTTTCAAAACTCTAAACACAGTTAGCCCCACATCGGTCTGTTCATACCATACAATTAACACAATTCATGTTGTTTCCACAGAATATGCAGTCAATTAATCCATTTCTACAATTCTAAGTTTTTCTTTACATTCAAGCTCACCCAAGACCTTATGATCAAAACCTTAAATATTGCATAAAGCCTCTGCTTCTGCAACAAAAGAAGTACAAAATATATATTGAAACAGCTGATAAGCATTTCTTAATGAGCATATCAATGAAATATTGAGAAAGAGCTGATTTATTGTAATTTGGGTAAAATAGATCAACCACAGCTAATTCCAATCTCAATCAGAGACATAGCCAGTGTGGAAGTTCTTTCAATTACATACACAATGCAGTATAAAAGGGACTTTCTGGACTGAGTTTATGTGGATACAAAGCAACACAGATGAGGAAAGAAAGAAAGAAAGAAAGAAAGAAAGAAAGAAAGAAAGAAAGAAAGAAAGAAAGAAAGAAAGAAAGTCTGGACAAGGAAGACAAATAGGAGGGCCAGGGAGAGGAAGAGAGCCAGGAAGAGGGCCAGGGAGAGGAAGAGGGCCAGGGAGAAGGAGAGGTAGGGGGAGAGCAGTAAGAGTGTGGTGGTGTTCAAAGGAGAGCTGTTGTCACTAATGAAATAGGAGCAACCATCATAGACCAGTCCCAATGCAAATACAGTATATTGTATTTTTGTTCCTCTAGGACACAACGTCTTCCTCACTCTGAGGGAAGAGGAAGGCTCCTCAGTGAAGACCAAGAGCATGCCCTGGTAGGACTGGTCATTGCTGACAGTACAATAAAACTGAGAAATTTAGACCAGAATTGTTGAGGACAACGTGGTATTTCACAATGTGGAAAGCATTAGCCTGACCACCATTGCTCGGACTCTGAGCAAACAGAGTTTGAATAAAACAGTTGTACACAGTTCCTTTTTGAAATGAACAGTGAGCGGGTGAGGACATTTGTAGTTGCATGGGACAATGTTGCATTAAACCGTGCACATGCAATCACAGACTGGTTTGAGGCCCATCCAAGAATGGTTTCCCTTTTCCTCCCCCCTTACCCGCCTTTCCTCAACCCCATTGAGGAATATTTTTCTTCCTGGAGGTGGAAAGTGTACGATCATTGGCCACATGACCAAATGTCTCTACTTGATGCAATGGATGCCGGCTGCAGATATCTCAGCTGAAGACTGCCAGGGGTGGATAAGGCATGTCAAGTGATCGTATGGATTAGAACAGGACTGTGCATTGTTGTTTCTTTCCCATCTGTCCCTCTTTTTTTGTTGTCAAATTGTGTATCTGACAATATTTTGACACATTTTGAACCAAAGGCCACATAGTTTGGATTATTTGTTGATCACTGGCTGCAGTTTCATGTTGATAATAAAGCTTTAACTTCTGCAATTTTGTCACTGACCATTTTTTTTTCTACTGTACATTCTATAAAGTAAAGATGACTCATTCACTTTTGCATAGTTTTTTGCCAAAAATGCACACATTTGACCCTCAAGCCAAAACTTTAGGGTGGTTTACAGTAAAAGGAAACTGAATTTAAAAAAAACAAACCATGGATTTCTCATTGTCTACTGTTTGCAGGTAGAGCTGAAACATGAAAAGTAATGGAGTTTTTGTAATGCTATCAACTGTTTGTATTTAGAAAGTTGTTGTGCTATAATTGATCTGTTCCTGTGCTAGTGTTTTGACAGAATGATTTGATTTTGAGTCAGGTTTGCTGTGTTTTGATAGAGTTTGTGTATATGGAGAATGTTATTTTGCATTTTGAAATGTAGAGTTGATGTTTAAAGAACAAAATGTGGTTTTGAGCAGAAAATGTACTATTGGGCTAATTGTGTGAGGTAGGTGTGTTGCTGTGTTAGAGTTTCGATAAGGTAAACTCTTGTTAGCAACTGAAAAAACTGTATAATAATGTGAAATTGTTTTTAAAGTAAACATGCTTCTTTTTAAGTCAGTGCAGTTTTCTATACATACTGAATGCCTTTGCTTCTTGCTCTCTCTCGTAGCTTTCTTGGCACCAACGTCTATAAGCATTTAATGTGCTGTGCATTTGACGCAAATCTGCACAATCAATCTGTCTTCCAGTGGTGCATGACAGTATGTATGTGGAAATAAAATTTCCAATAACATTTTAGTCCTGCCTATTAAAGGACCAGTGTGTAGGATTCAGTGGCATCAAGCGGTGAAGCTGCAGATTGCAACCATTCAACACCTCAGCCTTTCAAGCGTGAAGAAAAGGTCCTATCTAGAGCCAGTATTTGATTTGTCCATTTGGGCTATTGTAGAAACACGGCAGTTCAACATGGTGGCCTCTGTAGAAGAAGACCCGCTCACTCTTGTTCTAAGGTGAGCTTCATGCTAGCTAGAGCTGAACCTTCTTGAGACAATTGACTCCATTTGATTGCAGAAAACACTAAATATGCTTTAGAATAAGCCCCCCAGTAGCTCACCTGGACCAAGGCTGAGTCTGCAGCGGCCAGGGTTCAAATCCAGCCTGTGGCCCTTTGCCAGTTTACAGTAATGTAATATGATTGGCTGTTGAACATGTTCTGTGGCATTACTTAGGATCCTGGACGTCATGGACCCTTGTAGTGAATGAAGTAGGAAGTTAAGGCTGTCCACACTGGATTTATCAACTTATACATACTTGTTTCAATCAGTGCATTCCAGCACTGCTGTTAAAGACACATTAGGTGCACAGGTATATCTTTTTCCCATAGTCTGCACTGAAGGAACTGTACTGGGCAGAGAGATTATAAACCTTTTCACTTTGAAACAGCAGATGGAGACACAAGCACAAAGCAGATATTTGCTCCCTGAAATGGAGCTGCTGATTTGTAGAACTAGCAAATATTGTACACAACCAGTAACTTTATAAATGGTATAAAAGAACCTATTTATTATATTCTTATAAAATAAAAAACTCTAAATGTCATTATGTCCACCTCTATCCTAACTTCACCTTTTTATTTGGCGTTTTAATTAGAAAATAGGAACCCTTTGACTTATTAATACTTAATAGAAGACTTGTTGGCTTAATATTTAACATATATATTTAATTTAAATAATTTCCCCCTGGGATTATTAAAGTATTTCTGATTCTGAATATAAAGTGAGAAACATATTAATGATTCATTACTTACATACAGTACATTTAAACCTTCAGACCATATGCCTTATCCAGGATGTATGTGTGTGTATAATTTATGTGGTCACTGAGAGACTACACGTCCACTGTAGTCCATAGATTGAGTGATTGGCTTTGGTTGGCTGGCAGCGGGTTCCTTGGCTTCCATTTACTACTTTTAAACACTCAGATTTATCATGATATTGACCCGGGCTGTTAAATGTAGCATACAGTAAGTTGTTTTCGAGGCAGAGGTGTTGTGTGTTTGCTTTTCCACCAGTTTAAATAGCTCTGACGCTACAACGATCCAAGGGTCAGCATACTGATAAATTTACACAACCCACCTCAACCTCACTCCGCCCACCGCTCAGTTGCATGCAGCACGAAAAAGTGTTTCCTTCTTTGAGATATCGCAAAAGGTAAGACAATGTAGCCCAGAGCCTACGTGCAGAGGGAGACAATGTAGCCTACGTGCAGAAACTATCCGATCGTAACATCCGAGTGCGTCTGTGTTAGAGGAAATCAAGGTTGCAGACCGATAGCTGCTGTGCTCGGAGGTTGTTGTCAACGCCTGTGCAGATTCACTCTAAACAAGCCTGAAGTTTGCTGCGATTGAAGGTTTGGTTGGTTTAAGAATTTAAAATCTTCGCTGTTCGCAACCGACCTGTAGCCACTTGTTTGTGTGTGACACTGAGCCAACATTTAGAGCAAAGTCAACACCATCAGTTAAAACACAACTAGAGAGCGGACTACTGACCTACCAGGATCTCCTTGTTTGTTGCATGCATCTGCTTAGTTGTGTATAAAACATATTCTAGTCAACACGCTAAAATAGGGGAGGGGAATCGGGGAAAACTCTTGGCCAACTTCCTGTTGTGTGTAGCAGCTCCATGGATGCATCTTCTTGTTTACACATTAAACATTTTTCAGACTAATGTGGTTCATCCTTCGCAGAGCTGGAATATGACTCGTCGTGTGGCAGTGATTGGAGGAGGTAGTTCAGGTCTGGCCTGTATCAAGTGCTGTCTGGATGAGGGGCTGGAGCCTGTCTGCTTCGAAAGCAGCGATGACATTGGTGGCCTGTGGAGGTTTAAGGTGGGTTTCACTGTGTGCAGGTTGGACTTTCTTTCACTCACAAAGTGTATTTAGTAATTTAGGATGAACGTGTTCTCACCTCCTGGCTGTTATTACAGGAGAATCCAGAGCCAGACAGGGCCAGCATCTACCACTCTGTCATCATCAACACCTCCAAGGAGATGATGTGTTTCAGTGATTTTCCCATTCCTGCACAATTCCCCAACTACATGCACAACTCCCTCATCATGGACTACTTTCGAATGTATGCTGACAGCTTCCAGCTCACCAAGCACATACGCTTCAATGTAAGGGGCTTCACTAAGAGTTACATTTCGCTGTACTCAAAAATATGCAACATTCTCACTTTGGTTTCAAATGTAAAATATTGCTTAGTTCAACACAACAGATGGTTAAATGTACAGGAAATTGATCCTACTCACCTGAGCTTTTATACTGTTATCAGCACACTGTTATCTGTTTCTGCCTCTCTGTTGTTCAGACCAAAGTCTTGCAGGTGAAGCAGAGATCAGATTTTTCTCGTTCAGGCCAGTGGGATGTTGAGACAGAGGACAAGGATGGCAAAAAAAAGAAACACATTTTTGATGCTGTGATGATCTGTATTGGACATCACTGCCACCCAAACATGCCACTACATGACTTCCCAGGTACCAGTGACTGAGATTATAAATATCCAGAATCAACCTTTGACACAGTATGAATGAGCCTGTAATGACAACCCTATACACAATGTGGTTACATAATGCTTCATCAACAGAAAGCAGCAGCACCCACAGTGAATAATGTCCACTTGAAAATCTTCTTGCAACAGTTCAGAAGCACTTTATCCAGCAGTCACAAAAATTTACCCTCTTTTTTTTCAGGCATTGACACTTTCAAGGGAAAGTATTTCCACAGCCGAGACTACAAGACTCCGGAGGAGTGGAGGAATAAAAAGGTGGTCGTGATTGGAATAGGAAACTCTGGGGGAGACATCGCAGTGGAGCTGAGCAGAGTCACCAAGCAGGTTTGGATGCGATAGATTCACATAGATTAGATATATGTGTCTGAAAATTCACTTTTTTGCAACAGTTTTACAATAAAATCCAGTCGATTAAATGACACCAGCAGACAATCAAATAATTTGGAAGTTACTTTGAAGATAAAATTTAAAAAAGAAATGAACAAAATGATAAACACAAGCTATGTTATACAGGTTACAGAGTGATAAAATCCCTTATTTTGAGTCCATATTTACATTTTATTTCACATAAAAATTATTTTAGGGATGCATGATATACATCAGGGCTGATAAATGATTGGTTGATAACGGCAAATTTATATTATTATGTAATTTTTATGTATTTTTCTGATAATGTTAATTCTGATAATTGTTATAATTACGCATGACAGCTTATAACAAGATTTCTAAAGTATAATAAGTGGTGGACGTAATGTATTGTAAGTTCAAGTTCACAATGCTTTATACCTCCAAGTCAAAGTGACGTGTTTGAAAGAAGTGATGTATTAGATTTGTTTTGGTCAGAGCTATGAAATATTAAATCATCCATCTTTCCTTGCTACATCTTAGCCGTTCATACCAAGACCGCTACTGAGGTAACTGCTATCGGCTGATAGATTGATGTGCATCCCTACAAATTTAGTAAACTATCAATATTAAATAAAGATTTATAATGTACCACCATAATGACTGACGACCATGTATTCTCTTCCCAGCTGTACCTGAGCACTCGAAGGGGAGCATGGATTCTGAACCGAGTCGGGGACAATGGGGTGCCCCTTGATCTGGGTTTTAACAGAGTGATGAATTCTGTGCAGAAAATCCTTCCATTTAGTTTTTTCTGTGGCCTGGCAGAGAGCCGACTCAACCAAAGATTTGACCATTCTCTGTACAATCTTAAGCCAAAGCACAGGTACTGTTGTTGTATTTGTTTTTACAACTACTTCTATAGCATAGCTTCACCAAACAGCTTTTGAACTAGAACATGTTTTTTCCCTGCAAATGGCAGACTGTCTGACTCTGTCCACCCAATGCTTTTGTCCAGACAAAGATATCTTAACAACTTTGCCAGAGTAGCTGGGACGTTTGATGTAGTAATTCATGGTCCCTAGACAATGGATCTGAACAACTGTGCTGCACCCTTGGCATTCCTAGGGCCAGTATCAGGACAGGAATTCCTTTCATACTAAAACAGAGGTTTTCAAACTGTGAGCTTAAAGCAGAGGTGTGGAGGGAGAGAGATAAGGCAAAGACACTGCATGAGGTGAAAGGTACAGATGCATGCCTAATAACAGCCGGAAGTCAGTTATTGTAGTTTGTCATGCTGTTATGACCCGCTTATCGACACAGGTCAGGAGCTGGAATAAAGGCACCGTAAAACCCTCAGTGTTCGATTGACGCAGATTGACGTATAATGTCACTACTGGTGCATTAGACTGTTTTTCCTTGTTTGAGTTAAAATACTTAAGATTTTAGCGTCATAACTAACCATTGTGAATATAAATCTCAGGTTGTTCAGCCAACATCCCACCGTGAATGATGAGCTTCCCAACCGCATCCTTTCTGGAACAGTTCAGGTGAAACCCAACATCCGCAGATTTCAGGGGTCCAGTGTGGAGTTTGATGATGGGAGTGTAGTGGAGGACGTTGACCTGGTGGTAGGTTATTTTTGTATACACACTCACCCACATGCACTGACAGTCTATTCTTCTGTCCTTTTTACACTGTTATAGACCGCAGTATAGCTCCCAGTGTGTCACTGTGAGTCCTCTGTCTCGCAGGTGTTTGCCACAGGTTACAGGTTTTCCTTTCCATTCCTGGCCTCACATGTGGTCACAGCCTCTGAGAACAAAGCATCTCTGTACAAGTATGTGTTTCCTCCTGAGTTGGACCGTCCCACTCTGGCTATCATTGGTTTAGTGCAGCCACTGGGGGCCATTATGCCCATCTCTGAGATACAGGCCAGATTGGCCACACGTGTTTTTAAAGGTAATAAAGATTCTGTAAAAGATGCACATTTTTTCTCGTCACTCATTCCTTTTATTTTGTGTTTAAAAGGGCAAACCACTGTGTCACAATGTCTCCTCTCATATAGGCTGCATCAAGCTTCCCTCAGTGGCTTCGATGCTAAAAGACATCCAATGCAAGCAGGAGGCAATGGCTAGAAGGTACTGCAGTGGATTCACTCAACTTTGTGATTACATACATATTTTGGATCTCTGGATCAAATCTTGTTATCTTGATATATGTTCAATTTGGGTCACTTTTTCAGGTATATCACCAGTCAGAGACACACCATCCAAGTGGATTACGTGAGCTACATGGATGAGATAGCAGAGCTGGTGGGGGTTCGGCCCAATATCTCAAGGATGCTGCTGACTGATCCTAGGCTTGGACTGAAAGTGATGTTCGGTCCCTGCACGCCGTACCAGTACCGTCTCAGAGGGCCAGGGAAGTGGGCTGGAGCCCGTCAGGCCATCCTCACTCAGTGGGAGAGAGTGGCTCAACCCATGCAGACGAGGCCCTGTGATGAGCCCAAATGCAAGAGATCATTTATGTGGCCTCTGATGCTGTCAGCTGCTGGTGTGGGCTTGGCTGCCTACATTAACAGGAACAACCTTCCAGCTTTCTTACAAGATCCCACTGCACTGTTGGACAAGATAAAAGTGTACCTGCCTGCGCAGTGATGTACAATTCATACTTGCTCTTTTTAACACGTTGATCATATAGCACCTGTGTACAATTTCTACACTGTACTTCCCCAATTCCTGAAAGAGACTATACTAAGATACGTCAGTCATGCTGACACATGGTGGCTTCAAAGGCCAGCTGATGTTATATTTTGCTAAAAACTAGAGTTGAGCGAGTAATCGGCTCAAATGAGTGTCAGGTACGGATAGTGTACTTTTTACGAGTTCTAATAAAATCAGAGTAAAATGTGTCAATATTTGTTTTCTAATAAACAAATAAATTATAAGTTATCTTACTCAAAAACATAAGTCTAAAGCTTAATTCTGAGGCTGTTCTGTAAATAGTTTTGTAATAAATGTAGCAACTTCTGATCAACCAATATCAATTTCAGGCTTAAATTAACAACATCTGGTTACTAGTGGATGTAGGTCATTTAGTTGGTTGAACAGATACACGTAGGCCTAATGGTGTACTCCTTTATCCCTACTAAAAACTGTTATTGAACATATCACATTGTGTTATTGCTAGGGCATACTGGGATCTCTAACTTCTTAGTAAAGCTATACTCATACTAGTTGAATAGCTATTAATCTATGGCTTTTATTTGTTTGTTCATACTTGTACAATCTCCAAATGCATATTGTCCTTGTTTTCACTGTATAGTCTAAAGAACATATGATTACAAGGATCGCTCTCTGAGGTCTCTCTAATTTGTTTGGAGTATTTAACAATGACTACATACCCCATGTTGCAAATCACTGATGACTGATGATTTACTATGGCTTAATTTGCAATACTAGAACATGAAGTTAAGCATTATTTAGAGGCAATGATGGTATATTTGAATGTTATTATTTTTTTACATGTTTATATTAATGTTAATTAATTATGTAACTCCCATCTTCCTGTTTCTTTCTACAGTACAGTGTAAAAGTGGATCACATACATTTTTGATACTGTATTTTTACCAAAAACTAACTCTTACCCTTCATTACATCCCTGGCCTGAGACTGATATAAAGATAAATAAAAATAAAGAAATTGACCGTATTACAACGAAAAGATTTGTTTTGATAATGTTGTTGTAAACAAGCCTATATTTTCAGTTCAGACTAGAAAAATGTTAAAGTAGTATTTTGTTGTGAATACTGAATAATTAAATTGAATAATAAAAACTTTATTCGGCTTATGTTATGTTGTATAATATCTATTATGTTGGAGGTAAGGTTTAAAAAACAAACAGCTACAGCCAGGCTGTTATCTAACCCACAACACTGGGTGATAAGTCAGTAAAAGCATAGAGCAGTTGTTCACACATTGCCATTACCTTATGGGTACTGCCAAGGTTCAACAGAGTCTGTGATAAGGAGATGGATCAAATGGGGTCAGTTTACTGAGATTCACATAGTCAATAAAAAAGACTTTTGTAACCTCCCTTTTGTGATAAAGGTCAGATTACTGCACTGTGCCCATCATTCTGTGCAAGTGAGACCTCTCCGTTACATCACAACAGGTAAGTGATTTGCAGAGTTGCATGGAAAGTGGATTTGGTTGATTTGGTTTTGAATTAAATAACGAGAGGGTGGGTCAGATTGTGTAGGTTTAAAAAAAAAAAAGTGTGTTTCTTTGTTTTCCTCCTTAAAATGGGCCATAGATAACAAGGCAGTCTGATCTGATACGCAGCCTGCACAACCTCACAGGAGCATGTAGATTCAAGCAAAAAGTTTGTAAAGCATTTTTTAAATTGAATATTAAGTATTAAGGAATTTGAAAAAAAAAGTTCTGCACAGAGGAAAGGCACATTTCCAGTTGTGTTTCCTGCAGCGTGCAATGTTTCCTGCATTAAACCTATATGTTATAAGCATGAGAGTTTAGAGTAATTTAATACCTATAAGATTATGAGGCTACTACATGACTTGGTAAGATGTCTTTCCAAAACGTAGCTTATCAACTTTTGGTTAATCAGTTCTATTTCTAGGCTACAGGTTGTCTTTCAACACTGGTTAAAAATTAAAGTATGCCATAAACACTAAATCTCCTCAGAAATCATTAAAATGTCAGATAGCCTTCCACTTTTTCACTCTGCAAGGTCCTACGAGGTGCGTCGTCCGCTTTCATGGTGGTGAAGGTGGTCAGTAATCCAAAAATCTAAACAAAAACCTCAAAGGAATTATGCGTGTGTTTTTGTTGTTGTTGTTGTTGTGTTTTATTTGATTTCCCACTTAAATATGAGATCCAGGTGCCCACAAAAAACAAAATTCAGACCTGTTTCTTTTGTTGATTTTCAGATTTAATGAAATAATTGAGTGAAGGGATAATAACATTTGTTTTCAAGAAGTCTGCACTTTTAGAAGTTGTTAGATACAGTAGTTATCCCAAATTGTCTTTATGTATTAAATCTGTGTAATTTGACAGAAGTTTGATAATTTCACAGTCAGGGATTTATTTTCCGCAGAGGAGACTTATATGTGCAAGACTGCTTACACATTTAATATATGGAGGTTATACTGATTTAATTTGGTGATGACTTATGATGTTTAATATAAAATTAACAAACATATTCTCTCTATATGGCCTATATTTAGCTATTGACCTAAGGAGAACAGACATTTTAACGAAAGATAAAGTTTTTGTTTACTGTCACATTTTTCTATAGATGTTTGGTCATAGTGACTAATGCATTGAATTATTAAAATTCTTATGCTAATTGCTGCATTTTCTTTATAAAAAACAAAGTTATGTAAAGGGTTTTCTGATGACATTCTGGTGGTCATAAAAATATTCAACAGCTCAGTAGATAGGAGGACATCTGTTGCTGTTTCACGTTAACATTTTATGACCATGGTTACTTATTTTGTGGGATGTGAGTGGAGCAAACTGTGCTTCAAAGTGTTTCTACATATACACAGTAACTTATAATATGATGAGTTATGTGGAATAGGTCAAACATCTAAGTAATCCACACTGAATGTAAGCAACAGGTTCCCAGTCCATAACAGACAGACATCGTCTCTTGGTGCTGACCAACCTTCTCTAACATTTTGTTCGTTGCTTCATGAATGTAACTTCTTCTTAATCAGAGCAAAACATTTTTCAGACTAATGTGGTTCATTCTTCACAGAGCTGGAATATGACTGGTTGTGTGGCAGTGATTGGAGGAGGTAGTTCAGGTCTGGCCTGTATCAAGTGCTGTCTGGATGAGGGGCTGGAGCCTGTCTGCTTCGAAAGCAGCGATGACATTGGTGGCCTGTGGAGGTTTAAGGTGGGTTTCACTGTGTGCAGGTTGGACTTTCTTTCACTCACAAAGTGTATTTAGTAAGTTAGGATGAACGTGTTCTCACCTCCTGGCTGTTATTGCAGGAGAATCCAGAGCCAGACAGGGCCAGCATCTACCACTCTGTCATCATCAACACCTCCAAGGAGATGATGTGTTTCAGTGATTTTCCCATTCCTGCACAATTCCCCAACTACATGCACAACTCCCTCATCATGGACTACTTTCGAATGTATGCTGACAGCTTCCAGCTCACCAAGCACATACGCTTCAATGTAAGGGGGCTTCACTAGCGTCCTGAGAGTGATGTACTCTTTATTAACTCTGCCATTGAAAAGATGTATAGTCAGGAGATGCAACTTATTATCTGTTTCTGCCTCTCTGTTGTTCAGACCAAAGTCTTGCAGGTGAAGCAGAGATCAGATTTTTCTCGTTCAGGCCAGTGGGAAGTTGAGACTGAGGACAAGGACGGCAAAAGGGAGAAACACATTTTTGATGCTGTGATGATCTGTATTGGACATCACTGCCACCCAAACATGCCACTACATGACTTCCCAGGTACCACTGATTGAATGTGTTAAGATAGATAGACTGTTCCTTGTCATATCTATGGTGGTTGCAGAATAATACTAGATAATAAAGTATGTGGGGTATAGCCACAACATAAAGAAAATAGGGAATCATTAACATCAGCCCTGTCCATCAGTCCTGTCCTAATGTTAATGTCTCAATTAAACATAATTCTGCTCACTCATATATAGCAGTGTTCCCCAACCTTTTTTTTTGCCCTTTTTGGCTCTATCTACTTTCAATCCCTTGTCACAGGTTGTATATGGGTTGTGAGCAGTTCCATCCAAAGTGGGATTTTCCACTCTGAACCTCACAGATAGTTTCAATAAGTGTTAGAGGTCCAAACTGTTTCACAAAAAAAAAAAGCTAAGATCAGAGACAATTATGGAAAAAATAATATACTTTTGTTAAGATGAACAGTGTTTTCTTCTTTCCTATCAGGGCAGATTCATCTTGTGACCCTTTCAACATCTCCTAATCTCTCAATTGTGAACCACTGTTATATACAGTGTACTCATTAATTCATTCATTTATTCTGGTTACATGGAGACATGCCTGAGTCAACAGACAAATCTGATCTGTACTCCCTGCTAATATGTAGGGAGCTTCAAATCAAGCAAATGTCTGATACCAAATGTTACTGACGAGTGTCTGAAACAATCAACGTTTTAGGTTTCTGTTATCTTTGAATGTCTTTTCTTGCTATCAAGTCCTCTTGGCAGAAGCATAAAGACATTTATTAATTTAGTATCAATGCCTTTTGACAAAAAAAAGGCTTTAAAATGTCAAAAGGCATTTTCTCTGACTGTCACAAATCTGTCCTCTCAGGTATTGACACTTTCAAGGGAAAGTATTTCCACAGCCGAGACTACAAGACTCCTGAGGAGTGGAGGGATAAAAAGGCTGTAGTGATTGGAATAGGAAACTCTGGGGGAGACATTGCAGTGGAGTTGAGCAGAGTCACCAAGCAGGTTGGGTAGTTATTGATCGTCCAAGGCAATAAGACTTTGATCACTTATCTTTAATCAAGTGCTGGCATTTACTTCTTGTATTGTATATATTTACAGGTATATCTAAGCACTCGAAGGGGAGCCTGGATCCTAAATCGAGTTTCAAGCTACGGTCTTCCCATAGATATGCTCAACGACAGAGTGTTTGTGACTATTGTGCGCAGAATGCTTCCCTTTGGATTAGTCTGCAGCATGGCAGAAAAGCGCATCAACCAAAGATTTGATCACAGTCTGTACAACTTGAAGCCGAAGCACAGGTATTGCAGAAAACAGCATAGTTTAGTCGAAGGCATGGCTTTTTTGTACTATAAAATGTTTTATGACTGACACATGTTTTCAGTATTACTAACCATTGTGAATATAAATCTCAGGTTGTTCAGCCAACATCCCACCGTGAATGATGAACTTCCCAACCGCATCCTTTCTGGAACAGTTCAGGTGAAACCCAACATCCGCAGATTTCAGGGGTCCAGTGTGGAGTTTGATGATGGGAGTGTAGTGGAGGACGTTGACCTGGTGGTAGGTTATTTTTGTATACACACTCACCCACATGCACTGACAGTCTATTCTTCTGTCCTTTTTACACTGTTATAGACCGCAGTATAGCTCCCAGTGTGTCACTGTGAGTCCTCTGTCTCGCAGGTGTTTGCCACAGGTTACAGGTTTTCCTTTCCATTCCTGGCCTCACATGTGGTCACAGCCTCTGAGAACAAAGCATCTCTGTACAAGTATGTGTTTCCTCCTGAGTTGGACCGTCCCACTCTGGCTATCATTGGTTTAGTGCAGCCACTGGGGGCCATTATGCCCATCTCTGAGATGCAGGCCAGATTGGCCACACGTGTCTTTAAAGGTAATAAAGATTCTGTAAAAGATGCAAATTTTTTCTCGTCACTCATTCCTTTTATTTTGTGTTTAAAAGGGCAAACCACTGTGTCACAATGTCTCCTCTCATATAGGCTGCATCAAGCTTCCCTCAGTGGCTTCGATGCTAAAAGACATCCAATGCAAGCAGGAGGCAATGGCTAGAAGGTACTGCAGTGGATTCACTCAACTTTGTGATTACATACATATTTTGGATCTCTGGATCAAATCTTGTTATCTTGATATATGTTCAATTTGGGTCACTTTTTCAGGTATGTCACCAGTCAGAGACACACCATCCAAGTGGATTACGTGAGCTACATGGATGAGATAGCAGAGCTGGTGGGGGTTCGGCCCAACATCTCAAGGTTGCTGCTGACTGATCCTAGGCTGGGACTGAAAGTGATGTTCGGTCCCTGCACGCCGTACCAGTACCGTCTCAGAGGGCCAGGGAAGTGGGCTGGAGCCCGTGAG